AATGACTGGATTTCATTTTTTTTTTATTATTGTATAGTGTTCCATAGAGTACATATCCCATAATTTCTTTAGCCAGTCATCCGTTGATGGACTTTTAGGTTGATTCCATGTCTGAGCTATTGTGAATTGAGCTGCAACAAATATTGAGGTACAAATGGCTCTTTTTTTCCCTTTAATTCCATTTGGGTAAATTCCAAGGAGTGGGGTGGCTGGGTCCTGTGGTAGTGCTATATTCAGATTTCTGAGGACTCTCCAAACTGTCTTCCATAGTGGCTTTACCAGTTTGCATTCCCACCAACAGTGGATTAGTGCCCCTTTTCCCCACGTCCTCACCAACATCTGTTGTTGGTTGATTTCTGTATGTAAACCATTCTCACCGGAGTGAGGTGAAACCTCATTGTGGTTTTGATTTGCATTTCTCTGATGGCTAGGGATCCTGAGCATTTTTTCATGCCATTTCATGGCCATTTGGATTTACTCTTTTGAAAAATGTCTGTTAAGGTCCTTGGCCCATCTTTTTATTGGGTTGTTTTTTTTTTTTTTTCCTGTGGTGTTTCTTGATCATTTTATAGATTCCAGTTGTTAATCCTTTTTCTGTTGTGTAGTTTGCAAATAACGTCTCCCATTCTGTTGGTTGTCTCTTCACTTTCCTGACTGTTTCTTTTGCTGTAAAGAAACTCTTCAATTTGAAGTAATCCCATTTGTTTATTTTATCTTTGATTACCTGTGCCTCTGGGGTTTTCTCCAGGAATTCTTCGCCTGTTCCAATGTCTTGAAGGGTTTCCCCTATGCTCTCAATTAGTTTCATGGTGTTGTGGCGTATCTCTAGTTCTTTGATCCATGATGAGTGGATTTTTGTATAAGGTGTAAGGTAGGGGTCTTGCTTCATACTTTGACATGTGGACATCCAGTTTTCCCAGCACCATTTGTTGAAGAGGCTGTCCTTGTACCAGGGGTTGGTTTTAGGTCCTTTGTCGAATATGAGTTGGTTATAGATGTTTGGATTGATCTCCGGTGTTTGTGTTCTGTTCCATTGGTCTACCCATCTGTTTTTGTACCAGTACCAGGCTGTTTTGATGATAACTGCCTCGTAGTATGTCTTGAATTCCGGAATTGTGATGCCTCTGGCTTTGTTTTTATTGTAAAGGATTGCTTTAGCTATTTTCTGTCTCCTGTTTCTCCATATGAATTTCAGCATCATTTTTTCTAGGTCTTTGAAGAATGACTTTGGTATTTTGGTTGGTATTGCATTGAATCTATAAATTGCTTTAGGGAGAATGAACATTTTGATGATATTGATTCTTCTAATCCATGAGCATGGCAGGTTTTTCCATTTTTTTTGTGTTGTTTTCTATTTCTTTCTTTAGTGGAGAATTCTGTCTTTGTAAAATATTTCCCTACTTCTGTTTCAAAAACCATGAAGAGAAAATTCTCATTGGCTGTTTTTCAGTATCTAGGTGACTTTGTCCCTTTAATATCCTATATTTTGGTAGTCATTCTAGAGGAAAAATAATGCTTGTTCTTCTGACACCATTTATATATTTACTAGAATTCTATCATACTATTAATCATTTGTGGTAGTGGATCTGAAACTCTTCAGATATGAAGAAAAATCTATGAAAGATCCATGCATTTGTTCTCACTGAAAGGCATGCATAACAGGGATATTAAAAATTCATTGAAATGTGTATCATGAAAAAGCTATGCATACATTTCAGAAATTTTTGGACAGAATAAACTCTTAATTCCATTTCTCCATGAATTTTTTCAAGTACCTTCATATTCCCTATTTCTGCATGATTCTAAGTAGTTATGAGCCTTATCGTAACTATTAAGAATATTGCTGTAGTTTTATTGGAAATTATTTTATTGGTAATTTTATCTTACAATAAATTTTATTTCATATTCCTAATAGTTATGATGCTCTTTTCCCCCTTAGAACACTTTTCAGCCTTACCCTAAAAGTGAAGGAACATGAGGGAAGAAATAAAAAATTATTTTATTTTATTTTTGACAGGCAGAGTTAGACAGTGAGAGAGAGAGACAGAGAGAAAGGTCTTCCTTCCATTGGTTCACTCCCCTAATGGCTGCTACGACCGGTGTGCTGCACCGATCCAAAGCCAGGAGCCAGGTGCTTCTTCCTGGTCTCCCATGCGGGTACAGGGCCCAAGCACTTGGGCCATCCTCCACTACCTTCCCTGGCCACAGCAGAGAGCTGGACTGGAAGAGGAGCAACTGGGACAGAATCCGGTGCCCCAACTGGGACTAGAACCCAGGTTGCCAGCACTGCAGGCAGAGGATTAGCCTAGTGAGCTGCAGCGCTGGCCTCTTTATTTATTTTTTTTTAAAGATTTATTTATTTGTTTGAAAGTCAGAGTTACACACAGAGAGAAGGAGAGGCAGAGAAAGAGAGGTCTTCCATCTGCTGGTTCATTTCCCAGTTGGCTGCGATGGCAAGAGTTGCACTGATCTGAAGCCAGGAACCAGGAGCTTCTTCTGGGTCTTTCATGTGGGTGCAGGGGCTCAAGGACTTGGGCCATCTTCTACTGCTTTCCCAGGCTATGGCAGAGGGCTGGATGGGAAGTGAAGCAGCTGGAACTTGAATTGGCGCCCATATGGCACTGCAGGCAGCAGCTTTACCCCGTAAGCCACAGCGCCGGCCCCCAGGGTTTTTCTTTAAAGCAAGACATACAGAATTGCCACAAAACTGAAAAAAAAAAAAAACACCCAAAAACCAAAACAAAACAAAACAAACAAAAAATAAAACTTTATGTGAAAGAATGTGTTACTGAGGAAAGTTATATTTCTGAAGTTTGTAGATTAAGATGTCCAATTATTTACAGTCTTAACTAAATTTAAAGGTATCTGATAATTTTATGGCAGAAGTTTTGCATGATTAATAATTGGTTGTTGAAGACCTAGGTAGATATGATAAAATACATGTGAATATTATGCTTGATTTGTTCTTCCTTTACCACATGGTATATTCCTTATACGGTATTTAATTTAAAGAAAACTACTAAATACTTACTTTCCTTATACATATAATTTCTTTAGTGTTTTTTTGTTTCCTGCCTTTGTGAAAACAAGTTGCTGAACACCAGTTTTATGATCAGAAAAGTTTCAAGGTCCAATACATCAATCAATCCCTATGTGTTCTGTTTGAGAAGTCTAAATGACATTCCAAATATAGATAAAATACTTATGATTTATTAGCTGTCCATTTGCTATTTTATAAATAGTGGCAAATATTACATTATATTCTAATATTCTTCAGAATACTTCATACAAACCCTCTTGATGCTTTAATATCAGATAAGAAAAAATACAAAAATATGAGTATTAATATGTGACCTATTTATAATATGACTTGCCATAGGAAAATGGTAATTTCAACATTTATAACTAATATAAATGATACATAGCACATCTACAGCAAGCTTGGTAAGGGTTTCTTCATTAATCACTATCACTTGAAATGTTTATCTGTGCTTAAATTGCTTTTCAGTTTTATTGATTGCTATACACAGTGATTAAAGCTGTAATTATTTATAATTTATAAAGGATCCTCTAATGTTCTATTTTACTGAGAAAATCCAAGTTCCATTGTTCCTGCCTCCCTTTTATTAACCTTCTGCCTCTGTCCCTGGGCATTTCCTTCTCTGCCATCACACTTGCTGAACCACACAGGCTGTTGTGTCTTTTTGTCTACTGCCTCTCAGCTCCTCTTCCCTACTCAAAGACATTGCTCCTGTAACTTCCCTGTCTTTCCTACATATTGATTCTTCCTCTCTCTTCTGGATCATTCCTGTAAGCATACAGTTGTACTAGAATATCTCACAAGTACTAAAGGAGACACCCCTCTTCTACTCCACATCCTTTCCTAAGTGCATCTTGGTTTTCTAAACTCTATAGTGTATTTCCTTGTAAGCCACCCTCCTAACTCTGTGGTTTGGTTTTTATCCCCATGATGCTACTGAAACTTTTTCAGTAACTTTCACAATTGCAAAATTCACTGATTGATTCCCAGAACTCCGTTTCACAGTCCTGGCAGCATTTGTCACTGTTGGTTATTTCTGCCTTCTTAGAACACTTTCGTCCCTTGGCCCCTGGGCCATCTACTCTTATTTTCCCACGACGTTACTCTTCTTAATCTTTTTTAGTTCTGTTTCTGTTTTTACACCAACTTTGAAATGGTGTAGTGCTTTATGACTCTGTCCTCTAATTTCATCTTTATATAACTTTTTTTCATCTTTATAAAATTTATCTTTATATTCTCTGCCTTGCTTGGTCTCTGGTGACTTTATTTTTCATTTTTACTTTTTAAAGACTTATTTATTTATTTGAGAGGTAGAGTTTACACTCAAAGGGAGAGACAGGGAGAAAGGTCTTCTATCCACCAGTTAACTCCCGAAATGACTCCAACGTCCAGAGTTGGGCTGATCTGAAACCAGGAGCCAGGATCTTCTTCTAGGTCTCTCATATGGTAGCAGGGGCCCAAGCACTTGTTCTGTCCTCTGCTGCTTTCCCAGGCACAATAGCAGGGAGCTGGATCATAAGTGGAACACCTGGGACATGAGACAACAGCCATATGGGATGCTGGTGTTGCAGGCGATGGCTTTACCTGCTATGCTACATGGCTGACCGCTCCATTTCTCTTGTTCTTTCTTATTTTACTTCACTGAGCTTATCACCATCCCCACCAGAATGTAAAATTGATGAGATAGGAACTTAGTTTTGTCAATGTTACCAGTGTCTGGAAAAATGCTTGAAATGTAGATGTCTATTATATTTTATATACAATGATGTAATCAGTGCCTAGCAATTCATTGATATTTTATATACAATTTATTGAGAATGATTACACTTAAATTTATAAATGTGATATAGAAACTAAATACTGTAAAATTGCCCAAGTCTTAACCTTTTGAACTGTAGATGAATTAAGCCAATTTGGTAGAAAGAAGTGATATAAAACTGTTTGTTCTGTTTTATCCTAGGTATGAGTTAATACAGAAGGGAGTAACTGAACTTAGAGCTTCTGGGAATGTTCCAGACGTCTACAGCCAGATTATGCTTTTAGAAAACGAGAACAAAAATTTAAAGAAAGACCTGAAGTACTACAAACAGGCAGCTGAGTATGCTATTTTTAAACAATTGTTTTTATTTTAGACTGAGTAAAAATGAAGTTGAATGAGGCTTATATGTATAATGTACCAGAAACTTAATTCTGGGGGGCTGAATTTTATTTAAGTTCCAGTAGTAAAGAATGTAAATAGCTTTACCAGCAAATTACCTGATTAACTGATGAGAACTCTGAAAGCTGCAACTCATCATCAAGAGTGGAACACAGGAGGTTCTGAAGGAAGGGGTTAATTTGTTATAAAACAGTCACTTCTTTATCTGTTTATTAATCTTTGCATGATTTGTGAAATTTTATCCTGTGATGATGAACTAATTTCCAAGATAATAACAAAATTACAGAAAGCAGTAGAGGAATTTTAGTATTTGAAAATTCCCCAAAAGGAATAATGTAAATGATGGACTTTGGGGAAACGAATATAAGCCAGGGGCAGCTACTGCTGCCATTTGATTGAATTTTGCTTTGGACTTTTTCTCAATGCATGTTTATCTCCATACTTCATAGCAGCCTTTAAATGAAATCTATAGTAATGCCTCATGTAACTTTTTCCTTTAACTTAGTTTTTCATTCAATAACATGACAAGCATTTTTATAAAGTACATTTTATTCTAAAGATTTCAAAAATATATCTGAAAGGAAACTTGTTTTGTGAACGTTGGTATGAATTTATATACACAGAAGAAACTTAGAAGCCAAATCTCTCTACATCTTCTTTCTTTCTAAAACTAATAGATGACTTTGAACTTTTGATGGACAATTTCTGTAAACAACCAGTGTTATTCTGGCAAATAAATATGTGAATGGGTTGATTTGGGGTATATCTACTCATCTGAGACAGTGTTACGTGGAGAAACCAATGCTTAGATGTGGAAGACAGTTCATGTAAGATCTGGTAATTTTGCATTACCTAAAATGTTACTTAGAATGTTTACATGGCAGTGCATGATGAGCTACAGGAATTATGTTATTGGATCCAGTGCTCTCTATTCTTGGTCTGCTTCTCAGAAGTGGCTTGTTCTCTTTGCCCTGATGCGTACTGTAAGATTGTGTAGAAGCCCGATAGAAGCACTTGGAATTTGATAAAACAAATTTTTCACAGTGCTTTCTGCATATACTGTTTCAGTTCCTGATTTCCTTTGAATTTTTGACTGAGTTTGCCAGTTTCATTTTGACTAGATACAGTATTTTATGAAATAAATTTTATCTAAGTAACATTAATTATTGTTGATTATTGGATGTTAACATTAATTACTATAATCAAAATTATATCAACTATCATCTATTAAAATAGGTATCACTGAAATGAAATATTTGTTTATTAAAATATCAGACTATAGTTTTAAATTCATTAGTTTATGGTTACCTCTCAAATTTATTTCATTCAATATAATTTAAAATTTAACAAATTAGAAAATAAAATATTTATTTGCCTTAATCTACCTGACATGAGAACTTTGAAGGAAAACTCCTTGACACATGATAGATGTGTAATATTTATTTTATTGAATGAATATTAAGCATGGCGTACTGTCACAACGCCTTTTGGTGAAGTACATGCTGTAACCTAATTCTTCTGATTCATTCTCAGGAAATGGAGAATGAAATTTTGTAAAGTTTCACAAACTACATTTGTCATGCTAACTGTTTACTCCAAATTATAATATTTCATCACCCATGTTTCTCAAGTTTCTAGTAGAATCGGTTTTAAATATGAGGTTCCTTCTGTAAGTTAACCTAATGTTTATCTTCTAAGGTTAGGGTATTTCTTAAGGCAAGATAATTATGGATATAAAATACTGTAAAAATAGTTAATATGCAAAAACTCAGATTATAAGTATTTTGTTATCTGTGATTATACTTGTAGCATTTAATAATGTATCTAGAAAATTCAGGCAAATTGACAGTAAAATTAATATTTATTTGGAGGAGAGTTGCTGTGGGAAAGTGTACTGAACTTAAAGTTCAGATACATGACTTCCAATATTCTGCCATTTATTAACTCAATTTTCTTATTGTTAAACTGGGAGTAATTATATGTAATGTTATTAACTCCTAGGGAGTGATGTGATAATTAAATGAGACAATCTATGTGAAAGAGCTGTATAAATCCTAAAGTAGTTTGAAATGTCAGTTATTCTTAATAACTCTAAAGGCTGTCATTCCTGAGTTTTATTAAAAAATCATCACTTCATTAACATTGTTGAAATTCACTGATGAAGCATATAGAAAGAAGTGTAAGTGGAAAATATTTTATGCTAAAGTATCATTTGAACTGCTATAATTAAGTCAAGGCATTGTCTTTTTATCTGTTGTAAGCATTGTCAAATTTTGAACAATACCACTTTTGTCTGTACTTTCTATGAATGTAGATTATCTTCTGCAGTAGAAAGTTTAGCAAATAATTGATGAGAAATTGATGAGACTTGATAAGAAAAATCGATGAGAAAATTTCCTTAGAGCTCTTTTAAAGGAGAAAGTATATTATTGCAAATATCTGTGATTAGATTGAAGAAAAATTATTTTACATATTGAGTATTGGAGATGAATTATATAATAGGTTGCATCTTTCTTGGAAAGGGAGAACATAAAATTTTAATTTTATATTTAAATGTTAAACAATTATTTTTAAATGGAGAAATCTGCTATTTAAGTGACTTCCTGCACATTTGCCCAGAATTGGTCATTGAATGATGAATAGAAAAATCCCTGGAAATTATAATAACTTTCAGTTAAGAGACTATTTCATAAACCTTGTCTATCTTGGTAGTCGACATGTCTATATGTACACTTTGGTCTGAAGTCCATAAATTGCTACTATGCAATTTATTAATTAGGAACTTGTTTGTCTTGTATACTGGTGCTTTTAGAAATCACCCAGTTTTTATATTTGCATCATCTACAGTCCAAGGGGACACAAAGTGGTAAACTTTGTACTCTAATTTTTGCTGATTTGCCTTTCATGTACTGTAAGTGACCTTCTCAGACGATGAAGAAATCTTTGCTGTCCAATTAGCAATCTTTGTCCTTCTGTACATTTGTCCTATTTTTTCATTCCTACCATCCTTCAGATCTGTGACAGCATGTTGTTCTGCCCCTCCTTCCATATTATCGACAGACTCCCTTCCTTCTTCTTGCCTCTACCCTAGTGACCATCTCCAGGTCCAATAAGAATAATGGTATACACACGCACACACACAAACGACATGTTTTAGGTGGTGTTAAGTGCTATGAAGAAGAAAACTGGGTAAAAAGACAGATAATGGAGTGATGTTTTATATAGAGTGATGGGGAAGTCCTCCGCTATTGAAGAGACTGAGGCTAGAATGCCATACTTGGGAAAATGGAATTCCAGGCATAGGCGAAATGAAGTATAAAGAGCTTATGGAAGGGATGGGTTGGCCCATTTGAGGATTAGCATGAAGGCGTTAGTGACAGCAACAGAGGGTTAGTGGTAGAGGCCCTTTGTTAGAACTTTAGAAC